CAGCTGTAAACAAAAAGCCGCCATTGTTTTTAATGCGCGCGCGCTAATCACGCGTGAAATTATGCGCAGTAAGGATGCGCAATGCAATACTGGAGAATAACCTTAATACGTCAGTTCCGATTCCGCAAATCAAACTAATTTTCACATGAAAGGTTTTGCACGAAGAATCGTTTTGAAACAGAAACACAAGGTAGCTCGGAAATAGCCTATTGGTGATACAGAAGTCTCCTTAATTGTTAAGAGGACTTCTGTTACCCGTTCAACCAGTTCTTCCCTTGCATTAATTAGTCGGTCTTGGATCTTAATCTTACCTCGCGGCCTTGTAGGTATCGTTATCGGTTTTGGTGTCGTGGTTGGGATCGGTTTAGTTGTAGGCACTTTGAAGGAAAACAAACGCTAGGTGAGATTAATTCACCACTCATTGTAACAAAACAACAAAATGGATACTAGAGCGGTTTTCAATTGAGTGTTATAAAAACAAAACCAAAGTATTCGTTCTGGCCAATCACAGAGGACGGAGAAAATCCAGTGAGCCTATCAAAACTCGAAGTAATTGCATGTAGCTGAAGCAAAGCGCGGGAAAACAGGTGCAAACGAGTTACGATTACTTTTAGTTTTACTTCTGCATATCTGATTGGATGAAAACGTGGCGTGAGTTTTTTTAAAGCCAATCGTGTAGCGTCAAAACCAATTATTTTTCGACACTCAAATGAAAACCGCTCTATCATAACATGCCCTCAATTGCGTTTTCACTATTTCCAGTTTCAATTCTATTGTTAGGTCAAGCGGACGTCTTTCTGCTAAGCAACCTCATCATTCCATCCTGCAGACAAGGGTATTGACTCGAATCTCATCTCTGAGATACTGAAGGAGCCGCCTCTCGAAAATTATTAGTAAACGATTGTTTTTTCATATGCATAGCGCAATTACGGTAATTGAAGGTAACGTCTGCTTCTCGCATTACACAAAACAGCGTTTACAATTAATCCGTTTACAATTAATTTCTTGTGAAACACGGATAATTGCTTTCACGGTAGTGAAACGTTCGGCTCGTACTACACTTACAGAATTAGTATAAGTAATCAAATAGTGGCGCGTGAAATTAGGAAATAATTAGAATTTTGACAAAACGCAACAGGAATCATTTCCTAATTTCTCGAGTCAGTACCATTTGATTACCTTATAATATCGTGGGTGACATATTACGCTTACGATTGCGGGCTTATGACTGGCTTATTGTATTTTATTGTATTTCACGTAAAATTGTAAATTAACGCTGAAAGTTCGCGCCAAAAATAAGGCGTAATTTTTCAACCATGATATTACGTTACGCATAAGCACTTGCCACACATACAACTACTTACACGGCCTGAAGCACGTTTTACTAGCCGCCAAAATTTGTTTCCGGTTTAGCGCACGACTGTAGATTTGCACACAGAAAATCCTTCCCTTGAAGTACCGTTTGTCACCACGACGCGCACCAATTCTGATTGGATAGTTCGTAGCCAATCGGAATCGTCCAATACTCTTCACCACAAGCAACCTCGAGTTCACCCATAGTTTGGCAACACCACTCTTGTAGTCGTATGTAGCACCGATGTAATTCCAGGCTCTGTACCGTATCTTTCTGCTCGTGACGACCACTGCTTTGGTAAACACTCCATCCCTGCGGACGAACCGTGCAAATAACGTGCGTGGTCCAACCATCCACAAGTGAACGCCCCATCCGGGACCTGGTCTGTAGTTGACGATAGGACCTTTGATGCCCTCGTGATAAACCCAGGTCAGAATGGAAATGGAGGCCACGGTGTCAAGTTTGCCGTTGTTCGGGATTTCGACGTAGCTGTTGCGGTTGCCATAGAATTGGGTGGATCCGTCTTTTCGTCCGTCTGGACCTGGGGCGATTCTCACGCCAACTCGCCTTGCGGTCGGGCATTTTCGTGGGCTGATGTCACGGCCGCCATTAATTCTGTCCAGTGGATAAACAGCGACTAGAAGTGGAAGAGCTGAAAGGAGAAAAGATGTATGAGAAGGTGATAAAATAATACGGACATGCCGTCAACACTGACGAAGGAGGCTGAAAATATGGATGTCAAAATCTAAAGAGATGCCGGTTGTTTGCCATTTACATGAAGAAAGCGGTTCGTCAACGGTTGTGCGAATGGTAAGCAAAAATGCCTGATGGTGACTTTCATTCGGATTGGCCACTTACCATCTACCCCAAACCCCCTAATTTACCGAGATAGACTACTGACGAGTTAAACCTGATCATAATTCCAAGAGGGCGGCGAATAATTGCAAATGGTAAGCACATTTTCCACTCGGATATTTCAGTTGGAAATTTTTGACTACCTTTCAAGACGTTCCTTTTATTTCGAAGATTTTCCGGTCGGTCGAGCCAAAATTGTCTTACCATTTACATTTTTACCGAACTTTCAAATCTCAAGAGTTTTCATTGAATATTGTAAGTGAGATAGAAAAGTTGGTCTTACCTGGTGGTGGACGAGTAGGCGTGGGTCGAGCTGACGAAGAACAAAGAAAATTTCAAAAGATCAATATCAATAGCGCGATATCGATATTAAATTGAAAACTTCTTTTAACGATAATTCTGAAAACAAACCTCTGAAACACTTCTTTTTCAGAGCTCCGAGTTGTCTCCCATTCAATGCTCGATCGTAAATCTGAAGACATGCTATCCGGCCACGGAAAATCTTTCGATCTCTTGGCTTTTTCCCTGATATAGCTGGGTAGTTAGTCGCCAGTTGGATCTTTCCAATATTCCTCTGAGATATAGGTATGGCATCATTCCACAGAGTGGCCAAACCAGTGACGTAATCGTAGGTTGCCGCTATGTAGTTCCAGGCCTTCGGTTTGATTCGCCGGCTTGTAACAACGCTGATGGTCTGCAAGGACCTAGGCACGAACTTCACCAGTAGGGTGCGCGGATTCTTCATCCAAAGATGTACCCCCCAGCCGCGAGGGAAGAAGTGGAAGATCGGTCCGCTGCCCTCAGGGTAGACCCACACCACTATGGTGAGGGAATTCTTTGTATCTAGGCAGCCCTTGTTGGGAAAGTATATGTAGCTGTTTGCGATGCCCTGGAGATAGTACGATCCAAGAGGAAGGCCGTCTGGGCCTGGTGCAGGCTTGACGTTGACAAGTCTTGCAGCAGTGTTGCGGTTGATGCTTATATCTCGTCCTCTTGTCACACCGTTAAATGGGAATATAGCTCTGGCGGCTGCTGATCCGGTTACTAAACAGAATAAAAACGACAACGATTGAATCGTTTGTGGTAAGCAAGGTAAGGAGGTCACAAAGATCTTTAAATGAATCAATGGTAAGTTAAGAAGAGGCTGAGGGCCAATTTAAACCAAACATCAAATTTAACGCGTTGTTACTTGAATTATATTCCGATGGCTTAAAAGGCGGCTGATCTGTAAAGTGATCCAGGGCTGATTATAACCGTTAAACGTAATCACTTTTTTTTAACTGTTGCAAATAGAACCGTTGAGATTGTTATTAATGATATCAACTTGTAAACTGTCACTGTTCGATTAAGTGGGTTAAAGACTATTCTTAAGCAGGATAGTGTGTGTGAACATGACTGTGAATTATTGATCACAAATTTAACCCATAAGATACCTGAACATGCTTTAGCTCGTATGGCGCCCAGAACTGCAGCCAACGTCCTCGGCGTCGCCGTGAACACGTGCAGCCCATTTGTAGCGATTTTGAATAACTGCGCCTTGCTAAATCGTCTACCAAAGCCAACAACGAACACTTCAATTCCCATGCGCCTTAAAACGCGTCCCACTCTTTGCACTCTGTCTACTGAGCGTGCACTTGCAAACACCACGAGAACGCGCTTGCGTCCACATTGACGCCTTCTTCTGAACAGGTACCTACGAGCGTAGTACAGAGCTTTTCCTATCCTAAGAGGACCCCTTTGAAGGCGAATTCTTCGTATGGCCGACAACATGGAAGACGCCCTGAAAAACCGGTTAAAGCGGAACAGGAGCCTGGGTCTTGACGCGTACGTAACCATGCCGACTCGGGTCTCTTGAGTGGAAATGCGAAGCGTGTAAAGAAGTCTTGCAATGTAACGTGTAAGAAGTCTGAAAGCTCCGCGCCCTACTCGTCGCAAGTTGTAGGAGCTGTCGATAAGGAATCCAAGATCCATATTCGCTCGGCAAGCTACAGAAAGAAAATATAGAGAACAATAAATTCAAGCAAAGCGCATTTTGAACTTGAGAAGATTGCTATGACGAGAATGTTTTAATAATCAAACATTGAGAACTCAAATTAAAATGTGATCATAAAGCAAACCAATTTTCAAATTTTATGTTTTGCTTTTTTCGCATGAAAGCAGAGGAGTTTTTTTATTACCGCTAACTAAAACCGCACACTTTTAAGATTCGTGAATATACATATCTAAAAGTATGCCAATTAAGGGATAAACTGAAGTGAAGGAATCGGGATAAAAGAAAAAAAAAAAA